CATATGGTCAATGTCCATTCTTGACAATGCTACGACTTGGGACATTTAATGATATCATTTAAGTATATTAACTTTTGTCTCACATCTTTCAATAAATCATTAATGTAATGCAAATCATATGGACGTCTATCTAATTGTATCAAAAAAATCAATGACAAGAATGAATAGAAAGACTTTTTTCATTAATAAAATAAAGGTTGTAATATTACAAGAAGTTAAATCATCCAAACAATATTGGATCTTAGCCACCTACACTAACAAATTTAAGCTCCTTTAAGGAGAATTACACCAAACCAACCTAAAATACCCTAGATACATCCTAAAATGCACCTAAAATTAGCTACGAGGATCAATCAAAGAACAAGGAAAAACTTAGATTTGGGCCAACTATTTGAGAGGAAAGGAGGAAGAAGTTCAAGCTAAAAAGGAGGAGAATTTATCTCGCAACAAATGAGATAAGTGTAGTCCTCTCTACACCACAAGAATAGGTTTATTTTATGTCTAATTGATGATTATTTGATGCTTTATTGGTTGAGTTTATGGTTTAATTGTTGAAGTTATGATGAAGTTGTTTGATTTAGATGGATTGGTGTTTTTTTTTTTTTTTTTTTTGTCCGAATTGGTATGCTTGGAAGAATAATTGAAAGGAATTGATGGATTAAATTTGGGTTATTGTTGTTGGATAATTTCGGCCTAACCCTAAAAAATTAATGGCTTATGTGGTTTAAGTTAATTAAATGTTGGTTAGGTGAATTAGGTATGTTTAAATGCATTAGAATGAAAAATTAAGGTTGGTTACTTAAAATGGAACGTTTGGCCATAACTAAGGAAAATTTGATTAGTTGGTTAATTTCCCTAAGTTAAGTGAATTGATTGATTATGTGTTCAATTGATAAATTGGAAGTGAAAATGGAGATAAATTGATAAAATACATATTGTTATTTAAAGAGTAAAATTCAACCATATTCAAAAGTTAGGAAAATGGGATTAAATAAGGTTTGATTGTGTTAGTATGGTTTAAAAAAATGAAATGGTATGAAAATTAGATGATTAAAGGTGAGAATGATTTAATTAGCTTGTTTAAATAATTCAACCATGGCTTTAATTGGTGAACTTTGATATTTGTCTTGCTTGATTATGGATTTATGCTTAATTGAATTATTTAGAACATGTATATGATTGAATATTTGCGTTACAAATTCTTTAACTTGGTAAGAATACATGAATAAGGTAAAAGAATAAGTTAGAAGGTAATGGAAAGTGAGGAATTAATGATTATTTAGATGCTTATAAATGAAAGAATATGGTTATGGTTGATTGGTGCTTGGTTGAAAATGTTTAAATTGATTATTGTTGTTTGGCCAAGTATATGTTTTCATGATCATTGATTTTTATTTGATGAACTATTAAATGTATGCCTGTTTTGATTTTATTGGTACCCGTGATGTTTGAAATATTACTTACCTATACATCACTACCATGAAAAGGATGCATGATTAAGTTAGGCAATGCATTTCATTTGAATGCATTTGCACATCACCGCCATAAAAAGGATTTTACTTCATAATTTTAATGAAAAAGGAAAAGGAAAAGGATATGTTTTCAAAACAAAATGGCTAGACACCTTCGAAAGGAAAAGAAAAATGAAATGATGATATTATGCCGGAAGAATGATCAACCTATTGTAAGGAAAAGGAAAAGAAAAAGGAACGAAAAAAGTAAAAAGAAAGGGTTCTTTGTGAAAGAAAAGAATGAGGAAAAGGGAAGGTATCTAGTGTTTTTTGTGATTTTTTCACAAATTTCATGTTTTAAAAGAAGACCGATTATATACATAATCCACATGGTGCGTCCGAGGAGGGAAATGAATTTTAAAAGAAACGGATTTTAAAATACATCACGTTTATTGCATGCATGATATACATTGCATGAATTACACTTACTAAGCAATGCTCACCTAGTTTCTTGTTATGTAGGTAATATGAATGCTAAGTCAAGACCATAGCCGAGGAGAAGAGTCGACTTGCCGTATAGTGTACTAAATAATTAAGTGGTGATTGAGGGAACTTTACCTTTGCTTAACTTATGTTTTGGACTTGGATATTAATGCTAGGTTAAGTATTTTTGGTATGTAAATGATGGATAGTAGCTTGAAATATTAAATGGTATGTGTATGTGTTTAATGTTGATTCAATTAGTAGTTTAATAGAGTTAATTGATAAATTGACCTATTAAACTCGGACTAAATAAATTAATAAACTAGAAATGAAATTAATTGGAAGTAATTATTACCATTAATTTAATAGAAAAAAGTGATTTAATTGTTAAAGATTAAATGGTAAGAAATAATAGAATTTAAATGGTAAGGAAAAAGTGAATTTAATGAAAAGGGATAAATTGAATTTAATAGGTAAGAGTTAATTGAATTTAATGGAATAGATTTAATTGGTATAATTTTAATCAATTCGAACTAAAGTTCCATAAGCCTAAATAATTTTTTAGATGGTCTAATCCATAACTAAAGATCTAATTAGACTTAATTAAAGTTTAATTGAATTATTTAATTGAATTTCTAGTCTAGGAATTTTTTTATTAAAATAAAAGTATTAGTAAATTCAAGTTATATGTGATTTTAGTGGTTTATGATAAAATGAATATTATTACTTTAAATTTATTACATTATAATTAAATAGATTTCAAAATGAAAATAATTGGAATTTATCCTACTAAATTAAATGGAATATTTTTAATATTTCTATTTTTTTTATTGTATCTTAATTTTTAAGTATTATTTGAGAAAAATAAAAGACATTAAATTGTTTAATTTAATCTAAGGTATTTTATTTAAATGACTAAATTTAATTTTATGAATATGAGCTTTTGGCCAAATTTTGGTATTTAATATTCCTACACATTTCAAGTATGAGATAGCATTATTATTTGGTAATGAAATTATGTTTGAAATTTTTATACATAAATTTTAATTATATATGGACCTAATATTTCTTAAGTATTAGGGACCTTCTAAAAAATTTTGTTAATTGATAGAATATTTGTATGGTTAAGAAAAGAGACTTGTTTTTTTTCATTCATTACACCTAAAATGTAAGTCAATATCAATAATATTTTCGACCTATTTAGGTCTTAAGTTGGAAGTGTTACATTACCAATGAAAACAATATCATTAACATATAGACTCATGTGGGTGGAATTGATACACTGGTGCCAAAAGGAGTTAAAAAAAGGAAAAGGAAAAAGATATGCCAATGATTGAGGAAATCCAACAATAAATAGAGCGGAAGAAAAATTAGCAAACTAAATTTAAGAAGCGTGTTTTTAGCCATAAAGTGACTTATGAAAGCAACAAACAATGTTGGGCTCCTCTTGACATGAATACTCAAGAGATATTTTCATGTAAACTTTTTCATCTAGACTTTGTTTGTTTGGCGAAAACTAACTTCCAAGTAGAAAAATCAATTTTGGAGAAGCCATTTTTTAAGAAGTTTTCCAAAAACTTATTTCCTATCATTTGACAATTACATGAAAAAATACTACAAAATATATTCCAAGCATTTGTGTGATACGGAAAACTAAAATACAAAAATCGACTATGATTGTTACATTAGTGAGTTTTGAGAAAACTTCAAAAAGGCATATTCACAATGTCGTAATATAAGATATATTTAAAACAATTAATGAATTTTTATAAATACTAACTCTAAGATTTAATTCAAAAAATCAAAAATAAAATATATATTTTTAACCATCAAATCAACTCATCAAAACTACTTGGGAAACAATTAAGTCAATATTCACATTTAGTTAAAAAAAAAAACAATTCTAAGTAATCCTAGTATTGTTATTTTGTTAACTCAATTAAGAATTTTTTAAAAAAAATTGAACTAATAATTTAGTCTAAAAAATATTTTTTTCACATTATTAGTTATTGTTTGTAGATAATTATTTATTTGGTTTCAAACGATTAATGTTGAAGTAATTTGTAATTAATTATTGCCTACAATTACCAACAAAATTTTACAACTGAATAAAATTAGTTACAAATTATTGATTTAGTTGCAAATAAATAGTATTGAAAAAATAATGTATTTATGAATGAATTAATTAGTTTTAATTTTTTCACAACTGATTGTAGTCTTGTAATAATCATTTTCAATCATTTAAGTATAGTTTATATGATGTTTGGAATAATGATAAAAAAATAGAGATAAATTATTGAAATATTCATTGTAAAAATAATTTTAAGGTGCAAAAATAGTTTTTAAGAATATTTAATGTATTTATAAATCGAAAAATCAAATGTTAGTAGAAATAGAGAAAACATAATTAAATAATTGATAAGAAATAATTAAAAATTAATTTGATATATTTTAAATAAGAAAGAGATAGAGAAAAAATTGTTAAAATATATAGAGAGAAATGTGAGTAATGCGAGAGTGAAACGACTTGTGAGAGAGAGAGGGAAAATGTTTTTTTCTTTTAACTCGAAAAAACTTTTGCAAAAATACTCTATCATTTTTCATTGATTGAAAATCATTTTTTTTGTTGATTTTTTTATAAACGCAAAACAAACATTAAAAAAAAAAAAGTTCCTTAAACTTATTTTTTCTCAAACAAACACAGACTCTAAATCGCCACGATGAAAGATATTATGTACATCCATTAAGTTGATAGACCACACTAATTCTTAGCTGCTGTAATAGCTAAAAGAATCCATATAGTTAACCCAATTTACTAATAAAGCAAAAATGGTCATGATAATCAATTGCTTGCAAAATAATAATAATGATCATAATAATAATAAATTGTACTCAAGTAATAGAATAATAGACCTGAAAGCAATCAGCCATGACATGGAGTAATTATTTTCGTAATTTCTCCTCTCTCGTCACTTTATATTTGTACAAGCAAACCTTACATCGGCACATTAATAAGTAGGTAGGATGATATGCTATGAACTGAAGTGTCCTAGTGCACTTTGTTGTTTATTCATCACAGCACTGGTACAAAGTGAACTTCTTCATGGTGCGGCCACATTCTGGGCATACCACCCTTTCTGGCATCTTCAAAGCAATGGTAGGAAGCTTAAGTCGGTTGCAGTTATGTGGAAGATGAAGCTCCTTCAAGTGATCTTTAAGTGCCTGCAGGAAACCCTTCTGCTGTGCTTGCTCTTTCCAAATACTATATTCTGATAAGCAAGTTAAAAATGTGGTTCCTTTGGCTCTAGCCATAAGCTTTGATGATGATCCTCCTCCATTCATTATTGCCCATCCGCCTTCACCAGCATCAAAGCTAAGCAATGTCATGATCTCTTGCATGATGGGATCATTCTCGATGGTTCTCTCTTGTTGATTTTTGGAGAGCCACATACTCTCTATCCTAACCCAGAAGTACCAAATTGAGGTCACATCTTGCCAGTAATGGCTTAGTTTTTCAGCAATGATAGTTGAAATGTTCCTCCGGACACGCTCCTTTGGATTGCTCTTTCCCACATAAACCATTCCCAGGGGGATATCAGCAGCTAGTGCTACTGCACGTGCAGTGCTAGTGAATTTTCTTACCCAGTCTATGTCCACTCCTCCATACACGCATATAAATCTTCCCTCTGATAGCTGATGAAACAGAGAAATTACCACAAGTCAAAAGGCACAGCTAGATAATTCTTATAGGATAACATGCATTGTGACATTAATCAACATAATTTCTAAGAATTAATTGTGAAGACGAGCGTACCCAATCCAGAACCGTTTGATCAATGCCATCCACTAACAGCTCAACTCTCCAACTTTCTTCCTTCCACAGAGCCTCCTCCCTTGTAGTGGTGAAAGGGAAGGCTTTGATCCCCCATATGCACATCATAGGCAGTGCATTTGGGCATGCAATCTTTCCTTGTGGATCAAGCGCCACGAGAATGTGCTTCGTCTCAAAATGGCATACTTCTTTGATGAACTTGATCACTGCCCCGTCAATCACTGAAGGGTTGTACACTGTGTGCCATGGCATGAGAGCTTGAAGATTCTTGAATTGTTTTTCTGTGCTCTCAGTCCAGAGAGTACCTGGCCTTAGAATTGGGAGCCACACAACCTCATACTGACTCTCCTCCCAAGTTCGGTTTTTCCGGTGCTCGTTGTATATATGTTCAAGAATAGCAAGCTCCTCTTGTAAGATATCAAGGTCTGATATAAGTAGAAGCACATATTTCCTTCGCAGAATATCAATATTAACCTGTGTTTTTCTCAATGAGAGGAAATGGACATTTACTTAGCACTCTTGTTTGCAAAGACTGAATGAATATTAGTATATATAATTTATTTCTTAACGAGAATTTCGTTGTTTATTTCCCTTTATTAAGTATCTTCTTATCATGATTTAAAGCTGGAATATGTATAAGTTCGAGTGTATAAGTGCAATACAAGTCTCAAAATTGTGGTGTATGATCTACAAAAAATGCAAAGAGTACTAGGGAAATAAGAGCAAACCCTCCTCTTGGTCGCTCCCTCAACAATTGGCTGCTGATCATCGTTTGAACACAGCAATGCCTTGAGAACCCTCATGTTGTCAGGGTGAGCAATCTCAAACAAACGCAAAAGTTTCTGATAGGATTCCATAAATTTCATTTCATCTACATTATATTGTCAATTTATCAGTATCCACCTATCAAATAATTCATTTCATTACCCTTGTTACACATGAATTGATATATTGTAATAAATTTAGCATTGCACCCACGTACCAACGTGCTTATAGCAGACAGTCAGTTGAGCCATCAGTAGTCCTTGTAAGTTGCTGAGCTTATGAGCCAAGCTCGATAGTTCCCAGCTGGCCTCTGTGGTTGCTATGTGCCTAAAGAAAAAAATAAAGTGGTCCCATGTGTAAAATGATTAGTACTTGGAACGGCTATGGAAAGGGAAAGATCATCAGCAACAGAATAGATATGTCCTTGACATGGAATACATACTCATGCCCCATCTCAAAGAGGCTAGTAATCTGGAAAGTGCAAGCCACGATGCTTCTGATTGTCCAGTAGACAGCAATCGGTATATGATCCATGGCGGTTGAGAATGCAGTGACATCTGCTGTATTGTACTGAGAAGAGAGCCCCTTAAACTCAACGATGCACTTGGCAATATCTAGCATAGCCTTTATGAGATTTCTGACAGCATCAAGTCGTAGTTTAAGCATGCTTGAACGACCAAAAACGTCTGGGAATTGTTTAAGGATCGACACGGATTTGGCAAGCTGGTTTGATGAGTAACTCTGTGCAATTAACCAGAACTCCCCATAATTCAAGGCGAAAGCTGCTAACGCTATCGCCAACTTGTCATCCCAAGAGTAGTTAGAGAACTCATCTAATATGGACAGACTAATTGCATGGGAATCACCACCAACAGAGCATTTCCATGCGATCTGTCAATACCACTAATAGTTAGTGATAGGAAACAAATTATACAAATATGAACACACACTCCCGCAGAGAATTTTTTTTTTTTTCCTTTCATTGGGAAGGGAGGGGGAATTCATATTCTTAAGTTCCATAATAACCTCTCTTGCAATGCGCTCGATGGCATATGAAAGCTCTAGAGGCAAGCCTGCTAACTTGTTTTGATAGGTTTCGTCCTCCAAAGTTTCTTCTGTATGAGACTTAGCAGCCTGCAATAAGATGAGTAAGCAACACGTACGAGCAACACTTACTAGCCCCAGCATTTCTAGTGCGTCAAACACATGATGTTACAATTGTTACTATTATCTTAATTTGTCCCAACTCGTCTTGATGCTTGTATAATGGTATATCATATATAAGAGTCGCAATAAAAAAATAAAAAGAAGGAAGAATAGAAATCATTGGCATATTGGATCCTTACAGTGACAGGCGCAGCGATAGCAGGAAGGCTTCCATTGGAACTATTGAATATATTCTCAACGACGTGGAGAAGGGGTTTGACATCATACTCAAGCCCGTCAGGGTTATGAGTCTCCTGAATTTGCTTCACCAATGCATTGTCATCAAAACTCGAAAACATAAGACGGTCACCTCTGATCAGTTTTGTTTGATTGGTTGCCATTTTAGACTAAAACAAAAGTAACAATATACGTGAATATATACAGTAAATTGCTGTGTGTTCTTCTTGCTGTATGGTAGCTTACCTTATACATGTGATTAGAAATGGAGTAAAGCGTCATAGATACTTAGAATCAACTTCCTTGCTTCCAAAGGAGTTTTAGTACTTTAAATAGCATAAAATGTAACACAAAAGCCTAGCCAAGATGGTTATGACATACATCTTAAACCTTTTCTGACAGCACACAAATCTTTACCTAGTTGGTTGTGTCCCAAATTTTCAGCGAGGTCGCTTCAACAGAATGGCAGTAGCTATTGTATCATATCTTTTAAAATGTTTTGCAAATAAATCCATATGTCATCTTGCGACCACACTAGATAATTTCAAAATGAATTTATAATATAATTGACCTAGCAAAGTTTTGCTTCTTTAATAATATTGTTTGGTAATCATATTTGATAACCAGTTAAACACACCCAAAGGACAGGAAAAAGTGTGATATATTCTTCTTCTGCTTTACCCAATTTGTAGTCTCTTGAGATTGTGGGCCATTATTATTATAGGACCATGATTTAAATGGAGAGTTAATTACCTTTATCACTCTTTATTTTGGATGCATTTTACTTTATACTCTTTATTTTGAAAAAAAAAATTCCATCTATTTTTCTTATAATTGGACATTTCATCTTTCAATATAAACAAATGAACGTTCGAAATTGAGTTGATTGTTGGTCAAAATGCTATAAAATAACTAAATAATCTCTAAAAAGATAATGAATGCATGGAATAGACAAATAAAATACCTATCTGATATTAAAAAGTTTCATTAGAAAAATTCATTCATTGCACTCAATTCCATTAAGCATAAATATCTTTTGTTTTATTTTTATTTTTTGATTTATTATAAAAAAAAATATTGATGAATATGTAAGATAGTATATCACACATCAAATAAATACTAGACTATAAAGTAGTTTAAAATTATGGAATAGACCACATATCGCTAATTTTTTTAGATAAAACTCAATTTCAACTATCACTACAACAAAAAGATGAATTTGTGACGAAAAATTAGCGACGGTCAAAAACCGTTGCTGATTTACAAAATTTACGATGGTTTTTTTGAAAAAAAACGATTGCAAATATTGAAATCAGCAACGGTCTATAGACCGTCACTAATTCCATTACAAAATATTTATATTAAAAAAATAAAATTTTAAAATTAGCGACGGTACGCGTACCGTGGCTAAACCGTTGCTAAATTGTAATTCGAAAAAAACATATTTAAAAACCAAAATTTGCGATGGTTTTTTGCAAAAAAAACCGTTGCAAACTTTCAAACTTAGTGACGATCTATAGACCGTCGCTAAAATTGCAATTCGAAAAAAATATTTGAAAACCAAAATTTGCCATCGTTTTTTGCAAAAAACGATTGCAAACTTTCAAACTTAGCGACGGTCTATAGACCGTCACTAAACCATTGCTAAAATTGCAATTCAAAAAAAAATATTTAAAAACCAAAATTTGCGACGGGTTTTTGCAAAAAAATCGTTGCAAAATTTCAACATTAGCAACGGTCTCTAGACCGTGGCTAAACTGTTGCTAAAATTGGAATTTGAAAAAAAAATTTAAAAACCAATTTTTGCAACGGTTTTTTTATTTTTTTGCAAAAAAAAACATTGCAAAATTTCAACATTTAGTGATGGTCCGTAGACCATCGCTAAACCGTTGCTAAAATTGCAATTCGAAAAAAATAGTTAAAAACCAATTTTTGCAAAGGTTTTTTTTGCAAAAACACAGCTTGCAAAATTTCAACATTAGCGATGATCTACAAACCGTCGTTAAACCGTTACTAAAATTGCAATTTGAAAAAAATATATTTAAAAATAAATTTTTGCAACGGTTTTTTTCCAAAAAAAGCTGCTGCAAAATTTTAAATTAGCGACGGTTTTAGCGATGGATTACGGACCATCGCTAAACCTTTACCTTTAACAAACCCATCTTCCCGAAAATATTCAAAAAGAAATTTCTCTCTCAAGCTCTCTTCTTCTTGTCGGACGAGCAGCACCGATTTGCCCAAAATTGCCATCAAATCTCCTTCGTCTCTCTTATTTTCCTTCCAACCTTCTCCTCTCTCTCCTCCTTCCCTTTCTCCCCTCCATCTTTCGCCCTTTCTTCCCTATTTTCCTCTTTTTTTCTTCCGTTCTCTTCTCTTCCTTCACTAGCCATTTTCCCGCCGGACAAGTCCGACGAAGTCCTTTCACCGCGCTGACCCCCTCTCCTCCTTGTGTTGGTGAAAGGTCCTCCCCCATCTAACCCCTCATTTTATTTTTTATTTTTTTCAATTATTTAGTTAATATAATTTAAATATTTTTTTGTTAATTTAATTAATTGTTATTGTTAATTGCATATGTTGTTGTTGTTGTTATTGTTAATTCATGATTTAATTAATATTATTGTAATTTGTTAATTTAGATAGTTTATTTGTTAAGAAAATTTAACTGGTATTAATTTTTGTTAATTGTGATAGTTTAAATATTTAGTTGTTAATTTTATTTTAATTGTTAATTGTGTTCTTAATGTTATTGTTAATTGTTGATTTAACTAATATTATTGTTAATTATTGATTGTTGATTTAATTAATTTTATTGTTAATTGTTAATTTACTTAGTTAAATTGTTTAGAAAATATAATTGTTATTAATTGTTGTTAATTGTGAGGGTTTAAATTGTTAATTTTATTATTAAGAAAATTAAATTGTCATCATTTTTTTTGTTAATTTAATTGTTATTGTTATTAGTGTAATTGATAATTGCTAATTTAGTTAATTTATTGTTAAATGCTATTTATTAATTTAGTCAGTTTAATTGTTGGTATTTTTGAAAGTTAATTATTTTAGAAAATTATTAATAAGTTATTAAAAAAAAATTTATATTTTTAGAAATTAAAAAAATAATTAGTAATGAAAAAATTAATACTTTTTGAATTTAGAATTAGTAATTAACAAATTAATTAGTGATTAAGTTTATTTAGTTGTTCATTAAGTAAATTATTGTGTTAATTCGTCGAGTACAATCTCAAGCTCAACAACTTCGCGGTTCCATATCGCGATGAGGCACGACAAAAGTCCATGATCAAACATCCGCAAATACGACATAGATCCAGGATCTACGAGGTACTATCACATCGTTGTTGGCTACAACAAATGAGTTAAAGGAGTATAGTCGATAGCAACATATGATGATGACACAAATGCAAGCAAATGTTTCAACGAGTATTTTCATCAAGGTGGTATTTCATTCGTCGTGCCCGAGACCGACGACGACTCCATCCAACCTCCGGACAATTCCACCCAACCTCCGAGTTATGATCCAAGCAATTTCTCTTAGCTATTATTTTTTCTTGTAATAACAAAAGCACTATGTATTGTTTTCAAGAATTTAATAATTGAATAATATTTATTATGTTTTAATATAATTTATATTAATAATTATGAAATTTTTAAATATTTTGTTTTGGATATTTATTAGAATTTTAAATAGCAATTGGTTAATTTTAAATATTTAAATTAGAGGGGAAAAAAATTAAAATCGGACAATTAGCGACGGTTTTGTAGACCATTGCTAAGTCTATCGCTAAATTGCAATGGACTTAGCGAGGTTTTTTGGCACCGTCACAAATATTCCCTCATTTTACTATCATATTTTGCGATGTTTTTTCATTTTAGCAACAGTTTAGTCCATCACAAAATTGACTACGGTCCAAAAATCATCGTAAAAATTTATCGACTAGTATTTTAGCAACGGTCTTTGGACTTGTCGCTAAATTGCATTAACGACGGTTTTTTCGAATTAGCGATGGTTTAGACCATTGCTAATTCAATAGATTTTTTTAGTGTATCTAATTTAATATGGTATCAAAGGTTCAATAAAGTTCAATAACCTAGTTAAGATCCTAGAGTTCAAACCACTAGAGATACTAAAAAATATGAGCTATAAGTGAGAAGAGTGTTAGGATTTTATCCCACTTCCAAAGAATACAAGAATATAAAGTAATATAAATGTTGTAGGATTGACACGGAGTGTAGTTCAAGAACTTCATCTAGGCCAAATGATTTCTTTTCCATATGGGATGGATTTAATGAAGTTTTGTTTTTCGCCTTTTGAGTTTGGGTTTACCTTTTGAGTTATCTTAATCCTTTTGGGTCGGTTAACCTAAATTAAGGTCCGAATGTAACAATAAGTTTAAGAGTCTTTAAAATTCTATATTTGTTTTAGATTAGAATTAAAGTCATATGAGAAGGGTGATGTTGGATAAGTTTTTATTATTAATTTATTTTAGTCTTATCTTATCTAAATGCGACCAAATTTTACAAAGAGAATTAATCCTTGAATGGCCCTAACTAGTACAAATAAGGATCTTATACTTATAGAGAAATACACATATATATTGATTAATAATGTAATATTCATGAGCTAAAATCCTTATTGAATGTATATATATTGTAAGAATATTTTTGTTAAATTAATAAAGGAATATTTATTAAATGTGAGGAATGGAAGTTTATAATTGAATTAAGGATGAAATAAATACAAGCATAATTATAATAAAAGGTTAATGGAATGAGTAAGGATTAAATTAGAGATTGGTATTATTAATTGTTATGGTTATGCTTTGACCTAGGGAAGTAATTGTAAAATCTAGGGACATAATCATAATAATTAAAAGTATAGGTATTTGAACAACTTTAGTAACTTCAATTACTCTTGGAAAAGGCCTAGGTTAAGAGGTAGATTGAGGAAAATTGTGAAGTTACGAACTGAAATTGGAGGGATTGATTGCAAAAATTAAAAGTTTAGAGACTGAAGTGTAAAATTTCAATGTTTTAAAGGACTTATTAATTGATTATGAGAGACTAATTCCAACAAGAAAATTCTGGAAAAGTAGAGAGAAAAAGAGGGGAAGAAAGTTGGCAAAGAGAGGAAGAAAGAAAAAGAAAAATA